ATTTAACACGCTGACGACCGCGCGGGTTTTTACTTTTCGGCCAACGTGGGACCGGCGCGCTTTCTTGAACGGCACAAGCGCGGCATGCATACACTTCAGGCCGTCCCACGAAGCGCTTTTTTAGGAGATTGGATCGAAAAACCTAGTTTTTAGAGCAGTTAAGAAGTAAGTCAATTATTTACCACGGAAAAATCTGGGCTGGCCAACTCTCTTTGCACCAGGGCCAGGAAATAGTCTGTAACCAACAATTCATAAAAAAAACGCAAATCGTGCTTTCTATAGGATTCAGAATCCTTCACCTAATATTTTTCATCATTATCAATATTGTAATTGTCTGTATTTGTTGGCAGAAAGTTAATCAGCAAACCAATCCAGAGTAAAGGAGCAAAACAATCCAAGCAAAGGATGATGTTTCCCCAAAAAGTCTTTGCTAAACGTATTTGGGGGGGGACCACGCGGCAAGCGGCGAGCGATGACTCATCCGCTCTTCTGCTCCCTCCTCGGCAATATAGAAGTAATTTCGTGTTTAGGACATGAATATAACTTCGCCCTAGCTATATTCAAAAGCTAAAACAGTTAAGGCTGAAAAGTGCGAAGAAACAGTTGTAGGCTGGAAGATTTTGCCTAAAATACAAACGATTGTTGCCTTTTTGTTGATTCTTGACTATAAAAGATCAAATATTTGTTGTTTTCAGCTTCTGTGGGATTTCCCAGCAAGTTCCCGGTAAATCTTGTTTGTTTCATTCTAGAAGAAAATAAGTTGGCAGCTAGATTCGGCGCTCAAGTAATGGCCTATGAGTGAAGAACTGACTGAGTCAGCCACTTGCCGGCTCGCCGCGTGGTCTCCCGCCCCCCCAAATACGTTAAGCAGCCAAAGTCTTTTGCTAAACTATTGTGTACTTGAACCATTCCATGGACCATGGGGCGGGGTGTTTTTTTGTCCGCGCTTGTACGAGTATACTAAGGACTGGACTATAGAATGAATAGGAGAAACTAAACAATAAATCATGCACTAGTGAAAGATATGGATTTGTTCACCGTGATTCGTATACAATTCGCGCGGTCCCACGCGGCCTACAAAGCGCGCATTGGATGCGAATCACGCGGTCGTCAATGTGTTAAACAATCGACAAGGGGTCGAAGCAGGGCACATCATTGGTTGAGGAATCCCCATAGGGGGGGGGGTCGTATTTGGCCGCCAGGAGAGGGGGGTCGTAATGAGGGCGGTAGCCAGTATCGAGCAGCGCAAAGGTCTCAGTGTGCTGAGTCCAGAGTAGCGGAACTCGCTTTGTAGAGAACTCGGATATGTAAAAGAAATAGTAGAAAACTTTCAACCATCAATTAATCCGAAATAACTGAAATTATTATTATAATAAGTCGACATTATCTCGTAAGTCCGTTGATGACTGAACAGTACAACTCATACTCTGGTTCGTTGCGGATGATGGGGCGTGTCCGCGATTACGCTTGGCGCTGAGCCAACCTCTTTTTTCAACAAACGACAGGACTACCATATCGTTCGTACCAGACGTTTTCCAGCAGTTGGTCTCCTTTATCGGAGACAGCAATTGGCGGAGCACACATCTGGCGACGTCGCACAGACACGCTCCCATCATCCATCATCGCAAGGGAAAACACTGTAAACAAGTGCACAGGTTCGCCATGGATCTCCCTGAATCCTATAGACACATTTGCTCGCGTGGACAGACATTAGGCAGCGTTCACACTTGTAGCGCTACAGCGTCGCGCTACAGCGTCGCGCTACTGCGTCGCGCTACAGCGTCGCGCTACAGCGTCGCGCTACAGCGTAGCGCTACAGCGCCGCTTCGCAACGTACTGCAATTTCCAACGTTAGGATGATTAGAGTTGCTTACAGAGAAAAGTGGGAAGGTTGCTGGAGTTTTCTTGAGAAATTCACGGAAAGGTGAGACTGATACAGCTGTAACTATTAGGTTGGCTAATAAGTAATGGCGCGTTTTTTTCAACTTGATAAAATTTGTTGCCAATAGTTAAGACTGGTTTGCAAGCAAGCTTAATATCGTTTAATAGCAAACTTCTCTTAGTATAAGAATATCAAAAAAGCTTTGGTTGAGGATATAGTTTTTGTGGATTTTTCAGTCGTTGAAGTTGGATGAAGTCGCCGAAAATTAGCACCTTCGACAACTGCCTCTATTTAGAAATTTCATGCTAATAGTTGAATTAACTGAATATGAATTTGATATTCTAATACTACGAGAAATTTGCTATTAAACGATATTAAGCTTGCTTGCAAAACTTTTCACTTTTGGAACAAATTTTTCAATATCTGACCATCCTTGACAGTTACTCCATTAGTCAATACTTTTCTGGTACTGCTTTTAGCGTAACAGTGTCCTTCTGTCCTATTAAGAGCATTTTCTGCAAAAAACACCCAAAGAGTACTCGCGCCACCTAAAAACACGCACGCATGTTTTTTACCGGAGACAGAAGAACCATAAAGGAACTTCTTGTTTGCATTGTGCTAACGCATTGGTGACCAGACAGTGTTCGCGTGCCTGTTGTGGGAGATAAGGCCATTTTTACGCTCCTGGGCCAAAAAAAGTACAAGAAACTGTCAAAGCTTTGTTGGGTAATGCCTCGAAAACGCGAAAACCGGCATGAATCTTTTTCCTGTGATCCAGGCAGAGATTGGGGGCAAATTCGAAAAGCAGATTTCGCTCCATAATCGATAAGCGGCATTGGATTCTGTATTCATTCTTTCTGTATTCAATCCTCTTCTCTTTGTTTCTCATATTTATCTAATAGTGAGCTCCTGTTTTCTACTTTATCACATTTTAATGTAGTTTCGCAATCGGGATCAAAACGAGGCAGTACTGCAAGACATCAAGCAAAGCCATCAAACATCAAGCAACTGTGAAACCAAATAATTAAAGTCAAAAACGATAAATAAAACCATTATCACAGTCTTCTGTATCAAAAACTACATCAAAATGTGATAAAGTAGAAAACAGGAGCTCACTATCAGATAAATATGAGAAACAAAGAGAAGAGGATGATATAGAAAGAAAAAACATAAAAGCTGGAGTTCGGTACAACTGTAGCGCTACAGCTGTAGCGCGACGCTGTAGCGCTACGCTGTAGCGCGACGCTGTAGCGCGACGCTGTAGCGCGACGCTGTAGCGCGACGCTGTAGCGCGACGCTGTAGCGCGACGCTGTAGCGCGACGCTGTAGCGCGACGCTGTAGCGCGACGCTGTAGCGCGACGCTGTAGCGCGACGCAGTAGCGCGACGCTGTAGCGCGACGCTGTAGCGCGACGCTGTAGCGCGACGCTGTAGCGCGACGCTGTAGCGCGACGCTGTAGCGCGACGCTGTAGCGCGACGCTGTAGCGCGACGCTGTAGCGCTACAAGTATGAACGCTGCCTTACGCACAAATTGCACCATCCCTTCACCTCTGCGCGGACCTCAGTGCGCGGCGCATCCAAAGTCAGCGTGATCGGCGCTAAACGAACCATATTCTGCTCCTGCTCCACCAGAGGATACGTTTTTCATGCATTCCTGGTTATTCGAACACGCTCACTTGAAACGGTACACAGGAAACGGGTTTTTCGCGCAGCTGGGAGTGTTCCCCAAGAAATCCCCATAGCGAGATCTCATGAATCCCGAGAGCTTCAGAAACAGTTCAAGAGGTTTTTAGAAAGAGAAAATCTTTAAACACTCGAAACCGTTCTCAGATTTGTGAAATGTTGAGTTACAAAAAAATATATTGATTCAAACCTGTTCAGTTGAAATCACTCCCCAACGAATCCTATGGCAGATTTCTCTGTGATTTTTGCGACCTTCATAAACGTTTCAGTACTTTTAGGAAGTGCAAACCTTCCTCTACACGAATACGGTCTCCTCTTCCCCACAGGTCCGCTTTTGAGGAAGTTATGGTCCTTCAAAGACACCCTACTTTGCTGAAAATTCTCGCTCCATGGCTAAAATTGCCGAATAATCTCCAGTCACAGCTGCAATTACATACGCATTCTGCTACCGTACTCCACATCTCGGGTTAATGCATTTTTAGCGCATTTCTTTTTTGTTTTTTTTTTCTGTTATGCCGCTTTTGTTTTTTCGTTTTAGTCATAGTCTCATTTAACTCGCATTTATGCTGTGTTTATGCTACTCATCCTGTTTTTGATTACAAACGCTTGCACATAAGTAAATCAACTCAACTTAGGTAGGACTGTTTATATCTATTTTTTATATCTAATTGTTTATATCTAATTTCAGGAAGTATGTAACGTCAACAGTAAAAAGGGGGGGGGTCGTACCGAACCCCCAAAAAGGGGGGGGGGGGCTCGTGCAGGCTCGACCAAAATCCCATCGAATGCTGTGCCTGTTGGAAGGTTAGATTGATTGGCAAATGAGCGATCTTCGATCCGATTGACCGCTCGGAGGGATACGTGTGGGTGAATAGCGGAACATTCCATCTGCTGCTCCAAATTATTCATCAAATTTTGAGAAAAAAATTACCATGCACGTATTACGTATTCATAATATGAAGCTTTCCTACATGCAATGCAAACAGCCTCGCCAAGGGTTTTTTCACAGCGGCTCGTCCTTTATTGTGATGACAGAAACAATGGAATCGGCAGCAACGCTCCCCTCATCTTTGCATTGTTAGCTGTGGACTTGGAAAAAGTGACCAGATAAGGTATAAAAGCCTGCGTTTGGTACGAGTTCTGTGCATTTACCGACATCCACCAACTCAATCAACTTCAACAATCTATCAGCCATTATCCCTACAAACGAATCTGTCAGTGATTACCCCTACAAATGAGCAAGCCTGTGAAGGGACCAGGATTGGAGCGCTGTTATGGCAACCTCTTCACCAGTTGTTGCCGACCAAGGACGTCGTCAGCTGGTGTAGGAGGCTGCCAAAGGTCACGCTGAGTTTAATGCCCCTTCGCACGCCCCCTCGTTTGCAGGGATATGACTGTATGTATGTGGTTAAATTGAATTTCTTATGCAGAAAACATGCTATACAACCTTCTCGTTTCGACGATACTCTCAGGCGTTGCATGGGCGCAGATCACGAACCTGAACTGTACTGAAGTGGTCGGTAATGCCGTTAAGGCGTGTTTCAGTGACAAGAACGTTTTTCAAGAACAAATTATGGTTAACAGAGGAAACAGGTAAACCCTCCCCCTCCCATATGCGCGCTTTCTAAGTTAGCGTTAAGTTGGCGCTCTAGAGGGGAATATGCTCTTCTATATGAACCGTTACAGCCATATCTAACTTTAAACAGCAATCCTGCCCACATTCGATCGATCCGAGGTCGACTCCATCGTGATTTTTACTCCTCCATGTCGCCGCCATCTATACAGTTTATATCGTCGCAATCAGTCGGGGCGGTGTCAGAAGGGGGTGTGTAAGCCATCCAGCGGTGTTTCCTACCACTGGTTTTCTCTTCCTCAAGCGATCCCTGTAAATAGAGAACGCGACTAGGATAGGGTCATTCCACTCTTCCTGAAATCATCCCCAACTGGTTGCGACCATATCAAGCATTCAACAATATGGGCACATCAATAATTCAGTCCGCGATACTGTCACATTCAGACGAAACAGCTTCACGGACTGACCCTTCAGTAAAAGCTTTAGCGTCAACTTACACGACTGACAGGTCATGTCTCGCGGGGGGGGGTGTGCTTGTTGCGTAGAGTGGGCATTCTGCACTCTCGCTAGATTTTTTTGCCAGTTCTTGTTGAATCACGTCTCACATTTGGACACACCTGTTCAACCTTATTGTAGTGATAAAAGGACGCTTTAGCATGATTGCATGGGCTTCGCAAACAACTTTGCAAGGTCTCAAATGAGAGTCAAGGTGTTGCTCGTCGCGGTAGTGAATCAGTGCGAGCCCGTTCTCCAAAATTTGTTGACGCGGCTCCGCTCCAATGATAAGTGGACGATAACGGGCTGATGCCGTTCCAAACGCCCTCCCCCCCTGACACACTCCAGCATCCGCAGCGAAAACGACTGTAAGTAACGAGTGATGGTGACCAATCAGCATTATTTTCAGTATGCAACGTCTGCGATAAACTGTCAAAACAAAATATCCGACAAAAAGTTGTCTTGTCCTCTATCCTGCAGCAGTGCCTAAGCACCAACCACTGACCGACAATGCAACTGTAGAGGAAATCCCGTGGTGAGTGACACTGAACAATCAGCTTACGCTGTTGAACAATCTCTTGTGGGATGCGACAAGCGTCCTACTTCCACCAGAACTGTAGGGCCTTCAAATAGAATATGGCCTGTCGCAACTCTTTTGGCAGCCAGGACTCACGTGCAAAGTCACTGTTATTTATCCTCCCAGACAGGTCTTGGTGCCAAATTATAGAATCTAAAGGAGCTGGCTAATAGGGGGGGGGGGCTAATAATCCTGGGAGAGAGCTGATCCTGACTTTGACCATCACATCGCGTGCGTGGAAAGCAACGTTTCTTCTCACAATCCTCTCATAGCATTTCTATACATCCTCATAATATCTAGCCAGTTCCATCACCAAGGGTAAAATAAGACAAAAGATTCGTGAGATGCGGCGTGCATCCTACTTCCATTCAGAATCGTAGTGACCTGAATGCGATGTGGCCTATAAAATGACTTACGGGGGCCAGCCAATGTACAAGCAGTGATACTATCCTACCTCATCCTATCCTACCAGGCGAATCTAGTACCAATGTACCGTCCCAGAGGGTAGAAGGCTTGGCTGGCCTGAGCGGGAGTCAACCAGAGATTTGAACCCAAGACTGCGCGAGTGGTAGGAGTCTCACTTGCTACTACACCACATTCGCCTAAAAATAAGATATCTGCGCGACATTAGACTGGTTTCCTCATTCCAGAATCCACAATTGGTCCAAGTGGCAGTCGACTACTGTCCCAAGACGTGTGGTTACTGCTGCATCACACCAGCCTTTTCATGCGAAAACAAACAAAGTGAGTGGCAATGTGCCAAAGCACTACGTGGAAAACTATACTTCAGGAGGACTGCCCGAAAACGTGTGGATTCTGTGATGCAGGTTCTTTTCAATCGCTATAGCAAATCTAGAAAGCCGTTTACCTTCAGTTTCACCATCACCAGCGATATCGTTCGCTTCTGACCAAAAGGGGAAAAGGTTCAAGAAAGTTAAACCAACCGGTGCCAGAAAATTGCTAACAGTAGCGTTAAACCCTAAAAGTGAGCGTCGCTACTTGTTCAACTCCTGATTCAGAGAGCGCACTGTGAGAGCAGTGCAAGTTCGTAAGAAGCCACACTTTCCGTGATAATCGCATGGGCGGAGTAATGGGTGGCTACACATGAGCATTGTTCTTTTCTCACTGGAGCGAGTTCCTCCTTACTTTATTTGAAGAGGGTCTCATCAATGAGGAGTCCCCAATGAGTATGAGGCTCCTGCCATCCGATAATTGTGGAATATGCACTTCCGTGCTGATTTGCCAAGCCCAGACGAATATACAGTGATGATCCGTGCAAACATTAGGGCATTTGACGAAGATGTGGACTGGAGCGCTGCCAAGGGGCTTTTTCACTGGTGGTGCCATCGTGATATCGCAACAATGGGCGGAAAGGGGTATGTGACAAGAGAATCGTAATTCACCGCGCTGGTGGCGTCGCGTGCGACGTCGCGCCCGCAAATGACGATGGTTCCAGGTAGTAGATGGCGACAACAGGCAATCCAAAACCGCAAATACTCATGAATGTCTACGAGGTCGGGGTCGTCCAATTCTCCAATCGACAAATTAACACGGGTTAAGAAAGCGCCGCGCCCATTGCGGCGCGCGGCGGAGCGGCAAGTTATAATTCTATTGCCCGTCTCGAGGCGGAAAGATTTGCTCTGGCTGCGATCCAAGTTCAGAGTAGAGAACCTCGCTGCTCGGGATCGTGCAGCGAATAAAGCTGCACGATCCCGAGCAGCGAGGTTGTCTACTCTGAAATTTTTAATTACGATAGTAACCGTTCCATATTTCCGGTTCTTGTATCGACGAAGCACCTAACTGTGGAATAGACGGCGGATTCATTTGCCAAAGCAAGAACTTGGAATCCTTCGCACAAGTGGGTAAGTCCCAACACTGCAGACAGCCAATAACCATTAAGAAACAACCTTTCAGCAGCTCTTCAATATTTTTCTTTCAGGTACTACATGTGGATCGGACTCAAAGTAATTTTATTCCATTAATCGTTTGATTTTTTCGTTTTAATGAAAATTAGCTTGTGGTAAGCTAGAATTTTGGTGTCGCTCATGATTCTTCTATGGGGGTTCACCTTGAGATCTCCACAAGCTCTAGCAGTGCAACTGCAGTGTACAATTCAGCGCAGTCTTTTCCGTTGACGTCAGACGGGCCGTGTCAGGGGAGCAAGGGTTCTGGGGCGACGTACAGTCCTCATCATTGCAGACCGGTGGGGCGGCTGAGCCGCGCTGCGTGTGACGCGACTGTGACGCGACAGCGACTGCGGCTCAGTGACAGTCGCGTCACAGTCGCGTCACACGCAGCGCGGCTCAGCCGCCCCACCGGTCTGCAATGATGAGGACTATAAGTCCCTTCCCCACCACTCTCATACGAGACAACCGAAGTCGGAACGATCCTGAAAGCACGCTAGAGCGGCGTGAAATCCTTGTCCTGCTGACACGCCCTGACTGACTTTTGTGGTAGTTAGTATACCTACTATGTCCTTTTTCTCCTAGTACTCCGTTGCTCACTTCCCTTTGGGAATATGTTTACGGACCATTTCCTACCGCAAATACAGAATTTTCATTGGGATTAAACGAAATGATGCTTATCGAGCAACCCATATAAACTTCTTCGCTGCGGATAGTGGCGGTTTCAGGGGCCTGGATTTGGCGCGGCGCCGGCCTGTTCTCCATCACATGTGGGAACTGGGGCGACTACAACTGATAAAGCACATGCTGACGGCGAGCCATACCCAATGACCCGAAGGCCCCATCGTCTGCAGCGAACAGACTGCACACCTCTGCGCCGTTTGGGCACGGATTCAAATACAAGTGTAGTAAGTAATGTAGTTGAAATCGTTTCACTGCCATAGCAACGTACCCATCATTTTGTGGAGTAAGTAGCTTCCGAGCTCTTTCACTTAGCACACCCTCAACAAGTCCTTACTTATAAATTGCATGCCAACCCCTGCTTATATCTCACTTTGACCGGACTGTGTTTTTGACTCCATGTGGAGAGTCTATCAGTTTCGCTTCTAAGTTCTCAGTTTTCAGTTGTGCAAAATGGATGCAAAATGGATTTTGCAACAGCACGTTCTATTCCAAAGCATACAAAATGCAGTACTGTGGACGTCCATGTGGGATGTGCTAAATGGGAAAGGAGGCAAGAATTACACCTGCCCGGCTTATCATTGAGCTTGTAGGGCGCAGCCTGATGACGGGGGGGGGGCACTTGCCTTTCGCTACTTCCCATCGACGTGTCGACCTATCTAGGCAGCCTCTTCTCGAGTTGACAGGTTTTACCATGATGGCTAGATGAGCTTGCTCCAGCTTCACAAGAGTTCACAGGTTTCGCCAGAGTGAGACTTGTAAACCGGAACTAGGGAAGCAATACTAGTGCAGAATGCCCCCACCCCCGTCGTCAAACTGTGCCAGCTTGTACCTACAGAACTGTATGTACGATAACACATGCTCCTTGTACATGAACTTTTACCTTGTAATGTTTCAAGGATTCATGAATTTTTCTCACAATGAAAATTTAACCTTACCGATCATGCTCTTGATTTACTTCTTCAAGAAACAATAGTGCAGAACACTCACAGATATACAGGAAATACTGCGGCTCTGCGGGAAGAGTATTCACCTGTATCAACTGTGCTCCCATCGATTTCATCGAGCGGGAGCCATCTCCATTCGTTCCTGCGACGTGCCAGTGTTGCCCAATGGGAGATGTGTGCTCGGGGGCACGATGAACTTCATACCGCTCGTTCAGAGCTTTCATGAAGAAGTCTGACCGTAGCGGTCGTCCAGATGTTCGCTTGACATCCCATGGAATCCAGTCGGTAATCGCTCTGGTCCAGCAGTCGTCTTCAAAGCGTATGACGTGGCCACCTGGTCTTCGCAGCCTTGACACATTCGGGTGTGTCTCTGAATCGTGCCAGGGGCACTGAGCCCAACAAAGCGTGGGCAGACAAATAGGCACATATTCATAATACACTCTAGTTCGCTGCGGACGGTTGGGCGTGTCAGGCAGTATGAGTGTGTCACCCGTCAAAGCCGTTCTCTGCCTTCTTGTTGAAGCGCGCATGCGACAAAAAGTGGTAGAAAACGAGTAATACGAAGGATATGATACAGTGCC